TTGTACCCCGTCTGATAGGTCTCTGCGAGAAATTCCAGCATAAAACTAGGTTCGAGCCCTTTGGCAGAGTTTAGTAGGCCTTTTTAAGAATCCTGCCTCGCCCTGCGCCCCCAGCTGGTGGAGCTCGGCCCCTTCGGAGAGGCGAGCCAACACGGAGTTCTTGAGGGTGGCGGCGGCGGCGGATGATGATGAGGTTGCTTTCGCGGGTCGCACACCAAATGCGTCTTCAAGGAGGGGGCAGTTGCGCAGGGCGCCCACTACACACCGCCGGCGAACAGAGGAGAGGCAGCCGAGAAGGCGCTGCAGCAGGCGGCGCTGCAAAGCCTCTTGCACTCGGGCTATGCATTTAGACGTGGCGGGCCAATGTGTGCTCGCTTGGAGGGAGCCCGAGGCCGGCGTGCAGACAGGTTGGCGGCGGCACAGGTAGACGCCGCCACTAGGCCATCCTCACCGTATCCCGCAGCTGCTGCAAGAGCAGCGGCAGCGCGTGCCACCCGTTGCCACGGCAACCGCCTCAGAGGCGGAACAGGACGATACTTTTTAACGGTGGCAGGAAGTTCCGCCCTCATTAACATACTCTACGTCGATTGGTAGAAGCCAGTTTTCTCCGAGACCTAAGCCAATCGCCATTAGCTGCTTTCTGGTCCTTTCCACAGCCGAGGGCGCGCGGGAGGGGAGGTATTAAAATTCAGCGCTGCCTAGTCGCGATTGGTCGTAACCACAGAACGACAAAACGGAGAAGCGCACCTCGCACGGATTTTAAACAGCTACTACATGCCGAGCTGGAACTGTGTTGCAAAATCCGGCGTTTTACTGTAAGTGCGACTCTAGCCCTCTTCGTCCTCTTTCCAACTTGAGTCTTCGTATGAAAAAAAACCCACTCTTTGCTTTGCTTGCTTTTAAACATCCTGCCACTGCAAATGCCAGCATGGTGGTTACGTTGCTTGAAACTTTGCTTCAGTCTTACTGAGTCTCTGACAGCCCTAATTCAGCAATCAGTTGCGTTACAGGAGTCTCACGCTCCGCTACCTCGCGCACAGAAGAGTTGCGCTTTCACATTTTTCTGAAATGATTAAAAAAATAAGAATTGACAAAAATTACTCATATTTGCTGCAATCTTTGACCAACCACAACTTAAGTCTGGATTTTCCCAATGATTTCTATGCCCATCGTTCGCTTCTGTATAGTGGGGGCGGGAAAAGTCCACCGAGAAACAGAATTCCTGCTTTGGACCAGCCTGTATTTTTCTTTCTAGGGTCAGCCCGCCTTTAGTGGGCGCTCGTGAATTGTCGTTAGCTTAAACTTCCGGGGTAGCTTTGTAAATCATTTTTAGTCGCCCGCGGGACACGAGGGCTTCCTATTGCAAGAAAATCAGAGAGTTTCGGCGTTGCTGTGACCGGAGGGGGAAAGGTATAGAAAGAAAACCATCAAGCAATTTTATTTTTGCTGCCTCTGACATGGTATCGCTTGGTTTTTGCTTCCCTGTCTCGCCCCGCCGCCCGCAAAGAAAAGAACCCCGGGAACTGGGTCTGTCTGAAGATACAACCATGTGAACAAAGCTAGCCGAAAGAGTACACTTGAAATGTTTTTAATATCCTGCTACATTATTGTTTCTGTCTATTTGGAAATTAATAGCGAGTGATCTCTGTAATATTTCACTGCAGACCGTGATCTGTTCTGTTGCATTTCATCAATAAAGAGCAAAATGGCAATGATATGAAGTCTTTTATTAGAGACTATCAAGCTCAGTCTCCCATCTACTGGGTTAGTATCAGCATCATGAAACAAGATGGTTATGACCTCATCCCCAACGTGCAGATTGGGGATCATAGCGGGGGAATACACTGTTGGATTGTCATAGACATCACACCCTCCTACCCCACCACTGCATACATGCCCTACATTTAAAGCATATGGTTTCCCCCCAAGAGTTCTGGGAACTGAAACTTCCACCTTACAGAACTACAACTCCCAACAAACTAGTTTCTGACGTTCTTTGGGGAAAGCAATGTGATTTAAGTATACATTGTGCACACTGACTGTATGGAGATAAAAATCTGCCCTATATTTGCATTTCAGTTTTTTAAAAACCCTCAGGCACATTTATCCCAAATAAGTTGATTTTGAATAGCATGAACTCCTTTCTTTTTTGCCTTTACTTGAGGGTGAGAGGTCAGCATACCCAGGCTGCTGCCAACTGACTGCAACAATAAACTGCTGGGTTTCTCCACCATCTCCAGAAGTAGTTTTCACTTTAATCAGAAGTTAAGGGCATCCCAGAGGAACTTGTAAGTCCTGCAGGTAAATGAATTATTAGTGTTGAGCTGCAATATTATACACACCTGGAAGTATGTCCCATTAAATTCAGTGAAATAGAATAGAATAGAATAGAATAGAATAGAATAGATTCTTTATTGTCATTACACAAGTGCAACATTGCACAAAGTGCAACGAAATTGGATGCCATCCCTTAAAACAACAAAAGCAAAACAACAACAACAACCAAACAAACCACATTCCAGCCACACCCACACCAACACCCATCAAACTCCCAGGTCACACTATCGAGTTACAGCATTCAAAAAGGCCACAGCTCTTGGATAGAAACTGTTTTTCAGTCTATTTGTCTTTGACTTGATGTTTCTATATCTCCTGCCAGAAGGCAGTAGTGCAAACAGACTGTGTCCCGGGTGAGATGAATCCTGCAGGATGTTATTTGCTTTCCTAAGACAACGGGAACCGTACAGTTCTTCCAAAGATGGGAGAGGATGACCAATAATCCTTTGGGCTGTGGTTATGACCTTCTGGAGCACCTTCCTCTCCCTAGCTGTACAACTGGAGAACCAAGCACAAATACAGTATGTAAGAATGCTCTCTATGGAGCCTCGGTAGAAGGACACCAGCAGTCTCTCACTCAGATTGTTCTTCTTTAAAAGTCTGAGGAAATAAATTCTCTGCTGGGCCTTCTTCACCAGAGCAGTGGTATGTGCGCTCCAAGTCATGCCCTGATCGATAGTTACTCCCAAAAACCTGAATTCCGCCACCCTCTCCACCCGTTCCCCGTTGATATACAAGGGCTGAATGTCCGCCTTTTTTTTCCTGTAATCCACCACCAATTCCTTGGTCTTAGCCGTATTAAGAGCCAGATTGTTCTCTCCACACCAAACACAGAGCCGCTCCACCTCGTCCCGATAGGCGGACTCATCCCTCCTGAAATGAGCCCTACCACCGTAGTGTCATCAGCAAACTTGATGATTTTGTTGCTGGAATAGATGGCTGTACAGTCATACGTATAGAGAGCATAGAGCAGGGGACTCAGCACACAACCCTGTGGTGAGCCGGTGTTAAGGCTAAGGGCTGTGGACATATGTGACCCTACTCTAACCCTCTGAGAACGTTCTGACAAAAAATCCAAAACCCAGAGACAGGTGGAGTTGGAGAGTCCAATCGCCTCTAGCTTGGACACCAGTCTATGGGGGAGGATAGTGTTAAAAGCAGAGCTAAAATCCACAAACAGCAGCCTCACATAACTCCCCGGCTGCTCCAGATGGGACAGAGCAGCATGGAGAGTGGTATTGATGGCGTCTTCTGTGGATCTATTTGCTCTGTATGCAAACTGGTAGTTGTCAAAAGTTGATGGAAGACAGGAAATAATGTGACGGCGCACCAGTTTCTCAAAACACTTCATGATGATTGGAGTCAGTGCAACTGGTCTGTAGTCATTCAAACTACTGATTGTGGATTTTTTAGGCAGAGGGACAATAGTTGACGACTTCAGGCAGGGTGGGACAATAGACTGGTGTAAGGACTTATTGAAGATCTTAGTAAAGACCCTCGCCAGCTGATCCGCACAGCCCTTCAACACCTTTCCAGTGATGCCATCAGGTCCAGCCGCTTTCCTCGGATTCGCCATCCTCAATACCTGTCTCACCTCATGTTCCTCTACCGTGAATGAGGGGCCCCTATGGGCTGGTGGCTGCAATACCGGCGTCTCAGGTGGCTCCTTCTCGAAGCGAGCAAATTTGAGTACACATGCATAGAATCGTACTGCAAGATATCTGTGTTTTGGTTAGATGGCCATATAGGAGCGTCTCCACCCCCATCGTTCAGCCCGGACACAGATCCAGCACCGAGGGCCTTCTGGCGGTTCCCTCATTGCGAGAAGTAAGGTTACAGGGAACCAGGCAGAGGGCCTTCTCGGTAGTGGCGCCTGCCCTGTGGAACACCCTCCCAGCAGATGTCAAAGCAATAAACAACTATTTTACTTTTAAAGTCATCTGAAGGCAGCCCTCTTTAGGGAAGTTTTTAATGTTTGATGCTGTACTGTTTTTAATACTCAGTTGGAAGCCGCCCAGAGTGGCTGGGGAAACCCAGCCAGATGGGCGGGGTATAAATAATAATAAAAATAAAAATAAAATTATTATTATTATTATTATTATATCTCTGGGAAACCCCAGTCAGAAAGAAAAGAAGCAACAATTTAGCCCATTATTGCCCCCGCAAACTGGCAGCTGCTCTTCTACATCACCTGTCACCTGATATTGGTTTCACCGAGGATGCCATGAATTGAACCTAGAACATTTTGCATGCAAAGATGTGAACTATGATCCCACCCATACTTAATTCACCTAGACCAGCACTGTGTATTCCACTGGGCAGCAGCTTTCCATTTTCTCATTCAAATGCCTTGCCAAATCCTGGGGCACTCTGCATAGAAAGCATGTCCTCTACCACTGAACCTTGCCTCCCACTGAGCATGTGCGGAGTGACTTCTCTCCCTTGAAGCGGCTGCAAACTTTCTTCCGCAGACACATCGTGGGTTTCTGGGAGGGAAGCCTGTGCGTGCCAGAACCTACGGATTCCAGGCAAGCTTGAAACTAGACTCTACGCTGCCCGCTAGCCAATTTCCGTGCGTGCACGTAAAGTGGAAGCAAACGTCCCGCCGGAACCTTCGTTTTAACGCCTCAGTTTCGTGCGGGGAGGGAAAGAAAGGAGGACAGAGAGGTTTGTAGGCGGAGTTTCTGCGCAGGACGAGCAGGGAGGAGGCGTGGCCAAAGCCGGAAGCTGCGGCGTCCGGGAAACATCATGGCGCTGAACGCGGCAGGTAAGTGAGGGAGGAGGGGTCACCATGGCAACCGGGCCTGCAGGCCCTGGCGAGAGGCGAGCCTGGCCCAGTAATCGGCTAGCGGGACGGGGACCGCGAAGGCTTGTTTCCCCACCGCCGCTGTTCCCATTCTCCCCCCCCTCGCCCAGGCGACGAACCGGAGTGGCAGCCGCCGTCGGAGGCGGAGCTGAAGGTGATCCAGGCCCGGCGCGAACGGCAGGACAAGATCAGCAAGCTGATGAGCGACTATCTCCTCAAGGGCTACCGCATGCTGGGCGACTGCTGCGAGGAGTGCGGGGTGAGAGGAGGCGAAGGCGCCTGGTCATGTTTGCAGAGCGCGAGGCCCGAGGGGGAGAACGAGGGGACCTCTGAGCACGCTCAGAGTGCCCTATCTTCTGTCATCCTTTTCTCCCTGCTCCGCCAAGGAAGAATTTCTGGGCAGGTCGGAGCTGCAGAACATCTGAGAGGAGTTTAAGGGCTTCTAATAAATAATAATAAAAAACCATTCTTAAACTCAAGCGCCTTAAAGGCAGGAGAATTCCCTGAAGTGCGGTGCTTTTATATAATAATGAAGAGTTGGTGTAGCGACTGGCAAAGACAGCCTTTGCCAACCTGATGCCTACACGAAGGCATCAGGGTAGCAGGTTGCTGAAGGTTGAGCTGAGGTTGAGCTCTGAATTGTGGAGTCACTGGTCTGAATCTTAGCACTGCCATGTCTCCTAGCTGCACTTCATTCATACAATATGCTTTCCATTTTTCAGGGCTGTTGAATACAGCGAGATAACATATGAGAAGCATTCTGAATGCTTGAAATAGTTTGTGGCAGTGTTGAGTATTATTATGGCTTGTATATGCTGTTTTTATGGCAGTCACTGGCCTGCAAAGCATATTTCAGCTTTCACCTGGTGCCACAGGCTAGCGAGTAGGCTGGTGGAAGAGAAACAGAAGGTTCCATCCTTCCTCTGATCCCAGCATAAAAGGTAAGTGGGCTACTGGGAGAGAAAAGGCCACTCATCCAAAGAAAGGCTATTGTGGGAGAAACAGAGCTCTCTGCCCTTCCTTAGCTAGCCTCTGCCAACTATTTTTTAGAAGGCAAGTAAGACTTTTGGGTCTTATTTACGAGGTTGTGGGAGAGGGCCACACATAGGCTCAGCAAGTCTGCAACAACCGTGAGAAATGGCAAGTTATGCTCAAACCATGGAAAAAAATACGATGCCTGAGACAGTTGATGAGAAAGTTGGGGTGGGAATAATGAGATCAACAAGCCTTTGAGTTCTCACCCAGATTTTAGCCAAATCTTTTTCTCCTGTAGTTTTCTAAAAACAGGAGCCAAGAGAGCTCCTCTCTCTCCAGTAATCAGAGCACTGGTTTCAATATGCAGTCATATGGTCAGTAGAAGATAGGAGGGATCCAGAAAGCAGCACCTGCATATCATTTGTGATCCCCACCACTACACACACATGCACACAATAGTTTTGCCCTGTGTTGTTGTTGTTTAGTCATTTAGTCGTGTCCGACTCTTCGTGACCCATGGACCAGAGCACGCCAGGCACTTCTGTCTTCCACTGCCTCCCGCAGCTTGGTCAGACTCATGCTGGTAGCTTCAAGAACACTATCCAACCATCTCATCCTCTGTCGTCCCCTTCTCCTTGTGCCCTCCATCTTTCCCAACATCAGGGTCTTTTCCAGGGAGTCTTCTCTTCTCATGAGGTGGCCAAAGTATTGGAGCCTCAACTTCACGATCTGTCCTTCCAGTGAGCACTCAGGGCTGATTTCCTTAAGAATGGATGCGTTTGATCTTCTTGCAGTCCATGGGACTCTCAAGAGTCTCCTCCAGCACCATAATTCAAAAGCATCAATTCTTCGGCGATCAGCCTTCTTTATGGTCCAGAGTTTTGCCCTAATCTTTTCCTTTGAGAGAGCTGGAGGCTTTCTGAAGAAGGGATATCTGTTGGTCTTAAGCAAGTGCAGAATGCTTTTTTATATGTCCCTGAATGTAATTGCAAAAACAATGAGGTAAATTGTGCCCAGGTTGGCACCCAGTATTTTGCATCTGTGTCTTTAAAGTGGAGGAAGCTCCTGCTTCTCTCCTCAGCACCTGACATCTTGTGACAATCTTTTCTCTATCAAACATTAGCTCACAGTTAGAATTTTGGCGCCTAGAATCCAGGTTTTTATTTATTTCGCTGGTGTCATTTCTCTCACCTCCCCACCCCCATACACCATTCTTTCTCTCTCACACACATCACATTCCTTTTGCAGGCTCTGACACTTTTCTCTCCTTGCTATAACCTTGCCCTTTCAGACCATTTTGCTGCAAGACAAGCAGAAGAAATTGTACTGTGTTGCCTGCCAAGAACTTAATTCTGATGTTGACAAGGACAATCCGGGTATGTTTGGGGTAGTGTGTGGAGGTTGCCTCACTGGGATGGATTGGGAAGGGCAGGAGTCTTGGACTAGAGGGTGGGAATTAGGAACTAGGGCTTTCCTCCCGTTATATGTTGGTGGGGAGAGGTATTTCTTAATTAGCTGGAAATAATTCATGAGCCTGACTCCATTTCTGGCAGTTTAAATGCTGCAGTTGCTATAAACCATAACTGGTGCTGCAGCACTTGTTTAATGCTTACACATTGATGCTCTGGCAACTTGGGATATAATCCCTATATTCATGTTTGTATTGTTCATTCTGCATTTATAAGACATCTGAAGGCAGCCCTGTACAGGGAAGTTTTAAATGTTGTCCCGAGCTGTCCCGAGTGTCTGGGGCAATCCAGTCAGATGGACGGCATATAAATCATAAAAATATTATTATTGTAAAATTATTATAGTGGGCCTCTGGGTGTGCCAGGAAAGAACCTTTTCTGCTTCACTTAACAAGTTAGTTGCTGCTTAGATCTTCCAGTGGAGGCTTGTGTGTGTGTGCAGGACTGGGGCAGGGGCTCAGGGAGGCCCAGGAGAAACAGGGCCCTGTGGTGATGCCTATGTGCTTCTTCTCTGCAGCCCTGAATGCTCAAGCTGCTCTATCCCAAGTGCGTGAACGACAGCTAGCTGCTAACTCGGATGATTCCACTTCACCTGAGTACCTCTCCTCTCTGCCAACTCCTCGCCATGTGCCACGCCCAGAACACTGTGAAGGGGCAGCAGCAGGACTCAGAGCTTCTGCCATTGCTCCAGCACTCCCAGCCCCTGTTGCAGTGCCTGCCTGCCCACCTTCCACTGGTGTCCTGGCTGCAGCAGAGGAGGCCATACTACAGAAGATCAACTGGGCTGTCCACGAGCTCCAGCAGAGCACTTGCGTTGAAACAAGCATACAGCTCTGCTCACTTATCCGGTCCTGCACAGAATCCCTCAAAGGAATTAAGGAACTGTTGCAGGGAGGTGGCCCTGATGTATAGGAGCATTGGCAAGCCATAGGAGCACAGCCTTGCCTATGGCACCAAGCAATGTGTCTCTTAGAGGCTAGATTAGAGTCTGAGCAGTTCAAACAAGACTGTGCTCTTTCTTCCGATTAAAATGTGTTGCTTTTTGTCTCATTCTGGTTGTCTTGAAGTTTGGGAAAGGTTCCTGGAGATCTTTGTTGAACTATTTGGGTTTCATTTGGGACAAAATGAGGAAGGGAAATGAGTTAGACTTCCCCTCTGACAAGGGTACATAGAACCATCCTGCAGAACTTTGGGCCCACTCAGTAAATGTCCTGGTCTTGTTGCCTGCATGATACTCTAAAATTAGGGTTGTCAAGGGTTTAGCTTAGGGGAGGGGGGCAGTCACAAGCTATACAAACATTAATGTAGAGCAGAGATAGGACACCCATGGCCTTTCAGGTGTTGTTCAGCAACTGCTTTTAGGCAAGACAATGTGGTCAGGATGAGACTTAAGACTCTCCATATGTTGCTGGTTCCTGATCCCTAAATCCATGCGGATTCTGATAGGCCTTGCTTTCTCCTTCATGAATGATCAATTAAACTAATAGCTTCACCTATGCTTATTGGAAGCTGCAGAAAGTCAGGAGAAATCTGGCATCTTCCCTGCCTGGGTGGTTTTATGAGGGGGTTGAAGATAGCATGTTCTAGTCCTCTTCTACTGGCAGAGTTGGATCCTTATACACAGCAGAGAAACATGAACATACATCTTGCTGTGAGAATTCTGGGTTCTTGCCTGCTCCAAAGATAGTTGCTGGCATAATGTAGCCCTTGGGAAAGTGATACGGGTTTCCTAATGTGAAACAGTATTCAACCAAGGTTTCTCTGCATTTGCATTATGAGTCTGGGGCTGAATTTGGAATGCGTCTGTTTTTATGCTTCATGACAACAGACAAATGCAACAGGAACAGAAGAAGCTGCCTTGTGTACCCAAGAGCCCTGATGGAGCAGGCTAGAGGCCCATCTAATTCAGCCTTCTGTTCTGACAGTGTCCCAACTGGATGCCTATGAAAAACCTGCAAGCAGAACCCTCGTACAACAGCACTTTCCCTATACATGATTCCCAGAAACTGGCATTCAAGGGGTATGGCCTCTGACAGTGGAGGTAGAACATACCTGTTGTGGCTAGTAGCCACTGATGGCCTTGTCCTTGAAGTTGGCCAATCCTATTTTAAAGCTGCCCCGGTCTGTGGCCAGAAACAGTTAGAGGGCACCTATGTTGGCCTATGTTGACTGTGAGCTGCTTCCTAGCAGCATTTCCTGTGACTGTCCTGATGCTTTCTCTCTTGAGATGCCAAGGATGGAGCCTCCATGCAAACGTGTGTTCTGCTACCAAAGTATGGTCCTCCCCAGTTACGCAACACTAAGCCCCAGTCTGGCGTAATACCTTGGCGTTCTGCACTGGAAGTAAACAAATCCAGTAGAGAATGTTGCCACAAGCAGGCAACTGTAGCCTGGCGTATCACGATTCCTGTTGGGAAGTTGGGTGTCATTTGAAAGAGAAAGGATGCACTGAGAAACGATCAGTCAGTGGCAGTCTTCCAGAGCTGCAGTCTGATAGCGGAAAGGTGCCAAGCTTCTCTCCCCACCAATAAAAACAAACTGCGTTTTTCCTAATCAGAGTTAGGCAGACCTAAGCATATCAAAATTGGCAGGCTTAGCATTCTACATAGGGTCAGGATGTGTGAAGCACAATGGTAAAAATATTAGCTTGTCATTTGGAAGGACACAACAAGGATATGGTAACCTCTGGCGGATTTCTCACTAGGTCTCAGACTCCAGTAAAGCAGTGCTGGAGAAAAGGAACATGGCTTGGTTTTTAGCTCATTAGCCATTGCCAAAAGCAGGGTGGGCTCTACCATTGGCTAGGCAAAGTAGCCTCTCACAGATGGCACAGAGTGAATATGGTTAACAGGTGGGAAATTCTGAACTGACCATTCTTGATAAAGCAAATTATTTGCTCAGGGGAGATGGGTTGATATTTCCTCCATGAAAGGCAAGGACAATATTTAGAAGTGATATACGGTACCTGCAGGGATGGCGTTTGAAGATCAGTGCTCTGGCGCCACACAGAGGCAGAGAGAACTATGCGTTTAGCGATGCTGGAAGCAGCCTGAGGGTTTGGGGTACTCTGTGCATCCTCAGTGACTTCTTAGGAATCTAAGAAGCTGCTTATACCAGGTCAGACTTCCCTAATATAGCTTGTCTTCTAAAGGTTGTATAATTACTTATTCCCTTGGTTCCGGAGTCGCATAACTCCATACCCTCCAACATTTCTCCGGTGAAAATAGGGACGTCTTAAGGAAAAGCAGGACATTCCGGGATCCAATCAGAAACTGGGACAATTCCTGTAAATCTGGGATTTGGAGGGTCTGAAATAGCATACGAACCAACTCCTAGGGGCAGAGGTCCCTCCCCCCCCTTTCCCAGAAAGTATTTCAAATGGTGTGCGTGTGCCGCGTCTTGTGATCGATAACCCCCCCCCCCAATATTTTATTCAAGCTGCCACCCTAGGTATATAACCTAAAGAAACCACGGTCTCCGCTGACCTTCATTCCAAGCAAACGCAGCCCTGCGTCAGCGCAGGCACCCCTGCAGTCCCTTGCTGCGCTCAGCAAGCCCCTTTGCCAACCTGGAGACGCGGCACCTGCGCTCTCCCCGCCAGTGGGAAGGGCGTCAACTTCTGCACGTGCTCCACGTCCGAGAGCTCCTCCCGGCCCTGAAAACGGGCTCAAGCGGCGAAGGAGGCCCGCGTCCTTTTGCCTCCCGCTGCGGCGGCCGCCCCTTTAAGCGGCGTCCTTGTGCGCGCCGCGCCGCCACGGCAGGCAAGCGAGCGGGGAGGCAGGCAGGGGCGCTGCGGGTGTGGCCGCCGCCGCCACGGGCAGAGCGTGAACAAAGGCGGAGACGGGCGCCGGGCGGAGCTGCTCTCTTCGCGGCCGGGGCGCTTCTCCTGCGCCAAGCGGGTCGGCCGGGAGGGCACCGCCGTCTGGTGTCGGGAGCGGCCGGGGCAGGGCCGCGGGATGCGGGGAGCCAGCTGGGTCGCCTCCGAGCCGGCCTCGGTAAGCTAGCCGGCCCGAGGGAGAGCAGGACAGCGCGGGCCTGTTTGCCCAGCCTGCATAGGTCCCTAAGCCAGCAGTCTCGAGGGGGCCTCTGAGCATAGCCAGAGTGCCTTTTCTCTGCAGCCAAATCGGCGTGGAGACCGGTAGGCCTGGGCCCCCGAACCTCTCCTTTTTGAAGCGTCGCCCCCACCCGCCATCTCTGTCCACCTCCGTATATGGCTGGGGGCTGGCTAGCTCTGCCGTCCGGTGGGCGCTCCCTCTCGGCCTCCGGCCTCTTCTCTCCATCCCCGGGCGCGGGTGGGGGCTGATTTCGACTCCCCCCCCCGCTTTCTCTCTCTCCTCTCCTCCCCCACCCCCCAAACATATTCCTCTCCTTCGCCATGACTTGCCTGCAGTCCTCCCAGGACAGCCTGGCGGGGAACGTGTGCGCCATCGAGGGTCTCCCCCCGCTGCCCAAGGGACTCAGCGGGATCCTCAACTCCAGCGGAGGCTCGTGGCGCGAGATAGAGAAAGTTTACAGCAAGAAGACGCGCATCCAGGACGACCTGAGCAAGTCCCAGGCCGCCTCGGAGAAGCTGCTGCTCCGGAGCAAACCCGCCAACCTCGACTCGGCCCTGGCGGTGCTGCGCAAGGAGATGGTAAGTCGGGACCCTCAGGCGGACCTGGTACGGGGCAAAAGGAGCAGGCCGATTTGGGATGGCATGAAAGAGGAGGAAGTTGTTATGTTATCTGATGTAGTATTACTTTTGTGTATGTGCCAGCAGGGAGATGCACCTGTGGGATTTTCGAGCTCACGTGCCAACATAGCTGGGCCAGCCTTGGGTGCTGTGTCCCTTGTCACTGGAGGGGGTAATTTACTATTCTGCCTTGGGCAACAAATTGTCTTGGTCTACTCAAGTTTTGGGTTCCACCAGAATGTGCATTTCTCAGGTCCTTTCAAGCCACCTGCATAGATAGTGGTATTGGGCCATGAAATTCTGCAGGTTTTTTAGTCCTCATTGACTGCAAGGATATGACTGTGTCTGCAGGAATCCAGAAAGGCACTGAATAAGGTTTCTAGCTGGTTGCAAGGCAGGGCACAGCTTAATTTTGTTCTCCATTTAGAACCTGAATAAATAACACAGGGCAAGGATGAGTGCGCAGTTACGCATATTCTTTTTCACAAAAGTGACTCAAAGCGATGCACCAAAATAAACACTAAGATCAAGAGTAAAACAAAGCTAAAATGCACTCCACTGAAAAGATGAGTAAAAAAAAAAAACCCCCACACAGGTCCCAAACATACTTCCAAAAGTAAGGGCCAAAAGCCTGGGTGAAATAAGGATGGTATTGCCTGGTGCTTAAAAATGCATAGTGATGGTGCCTGGCATGCCTCACTAGGGAGAGCATTCCACGAATGAGGAGCCACCACTGAGAAGGCCTGTTTTCATAGATGAGGAATGCAGGGCCTAGGATGGTTCATGTGTGGAGAGGCAGCCCTTGAGGCACTGGGGTCCTGAACTTTATAGGTCATACCAGTATTCAGGATTGAGCTGAGAAGCTAATGCCAGTCAATGCAGTTGTACCAAGAAAGCCGTCTGTTCGCAATCTGATTGCCTAATGCTGCACCAGCTACCATTTCGGAACTCTCTTTGAAGGCATTCCCATGTAGGCGTAATGTGATCTAACCTAGAGGTTTACCAGACAACAGAAGTTAGGCTATCCCTGTCCAGATAGAGAGAGAAATATAAGCTGGGCCATCGGCTGAAGCTGACGAAAGACATCAGCTCAAGTGACGCTGGTGGACCCAGAAGTAGCCCCATTCAACACGCCTGCTCCTTTAGATGTGTGTGACCCCATCAGGCCAAACCTCACCCATCCGGTCTAGGAAACCATCAGCTAACAGCCCCTCTGGATTAAGTTTTAGTTTATGGGCTTTCATCCAGTCCATTACAGAGGTCAGACATCTGTCTAGCTAGCACATCTGCTGCCATGCCTCCATGTCTAAAGGAGAAATGGAGCTGTATTTCATCAGCATATTGCTGACAACGCACTCCAAAACGCTGGCCGTTTCATGTAGATGTTAAGCGGCATGGGGGATAAGATCGAGCCCTGCAGCACTCCCCACTGAAGGCTCTATGGGGCTGATCGAAACTTTCCAAGCCTAAACCCCGATTGAAATGGCTCTAGAAAATTGGTTTCATGCAATAATCTTGCCCAAGAAGGGGGCATTGGGGACCAGCCAATAATTATTTAGGGTGGGAGTCAACTCATTGGAGGCCCTCCCCAAGGACTTCTGTTGCACAGTGGGGCTTCCCCTTTCCCCCACAGCCCCCAGAATTGGCTCAGGGAGGCGGGGGGGGGGTTGAGAGAACCCCTGCAACACCACAAGGCGGCAGAGGAGAATTGTTTGGTCTGGCAAGCCAAAATGCTTGTCCTAACAGAACAATCATCTTAGCCTGACATGGAGTTCCTTGCTTAGGTTTTCCAAACCCAGGGAAGGTTTCTGAAGGGGGTGGTCTTCGCTGCCACTTCCTTTAGACAAGTGGGGGACCACCCCCTCTCTCAAGGAAAGGCATTGATCACCTGGCTGAGCCACCTTCCTTGCTAGGTAGCACAACCCTAAGGTACATTATTGTAAAGCTGTGCTACCACTTTCTGGACTTGAGGAAGCCAGATTCGTCTTTTCTTAGTGCTCTGTGGTGTGCGCACAGCCCTAATCCGGTGTGCCACATGCTTTAAATTTCCATTTCCATCCCATTTCTCTTCTAAATACATGTGGGACTCAGCTACATTGGCAAAGAAAAGGCGCTTTACAGTGGTGCCTCGCAAGACGAAATTAATCCGTTCCGCGAGTGTCTTCGTCTTGCGCTTTTTTCGTCTTGCGAAGCACGGCTATTAGCGGCTTAGCGGCTAGTAACGGCTTAGCGGCTTTAAGAAAAAGGAAACAAACTCGCAAGAACTCGCAAGACGTTTCATCTTGCGAAGCAAGCCCATAGGGAAATTCGTCTTGCGGAATGACTCAAAAAACGGAAAACCCTTTCGTCCAGCGAGTTTTTCGTCTTGCGAGGCATTCGTCTTGCGGGGCACCACTGTATATATGTTGCTTAGGCATTCTAACACTGTGACACCAGATGGCGCTGTGGAGTTCCGTTTTTTGCCAACCCGATCTCTCATACAAAGTTGCAATGTGGTTTAACTGAAACACTCCTTTGATCCAGCCATGGTTTCTGCTCCCTTTTATTCTCACAACAACCCTGTAGGGTAGGGTAGGTTGAGAGAGAGTGGCTGGCCCAAGGTCACCCAGTCAGCTTGACATGGACAGGCATAGATTTGGGGTGCTCTGCTTCTCATTTTCCTGCATCAGCCTCCTGGAGGTTGCACAAGGCCTCCCTCCAATTCTGCAATTCTATGATTTTAACTTTACTTTCCCCTGTTCCTACTCTCTAACTACGACACCACCCTTACTTTTTTATTGATAACCATTTGGACTTTATTGCAGAGACCTAAGTATTTTCTGTATGCCAATGGTCTGTTTGTCTTTAAAAACCTTTTTGCATGCCACACTGGATTTCTTCCTGGAGAAAAGTATAATCATTCCCCCCCACCCCGAATTATCAGTTTAGCCGGATGGTAAATATGCTAAAATGCTTTTGGATCAACCTGCATACATCGACTGGGCTCTGCATGGTGCTGTTTTACTTAGTACATAAAAGGGTAAAGGGACCCCTCACCATTAGGTCCAGTTGTGGCCGACTCTGGGGTTGCGGCGCTCATCTTGCTTTATTGGCCGAGGGAGACGGTGTACAGCTTCTAGGTCATGTGGCCAGCATGACTAAGCCGCTTCTGGCGAACCAGAGCAGCGCACGGAAACACCATTTACCTTCCCGCCAGAGCGGTACCTATTTATCTACTTGCACTCTGACGTGCTTTCGAACTGCTAGGTTGGCAGGAGCTGGGACCAAGCAACGGGAGCTCACCCCGTCGCGGGGATTCGAACCGCTGACCTTCTGATCGGCAAGTCCTAGGCTCTGTGGTTTAACCCACAGCGCCACCCGTGTCCCGCATAGTACATAATCACCTGTAAAATACAACTAGGATCAGAGTATTTTGCCTCTTTGAAACAGTCACCCTGGATTTATTCATCTTTAGAGTGTTTGTTATCTGCCGTCAGATCAGGACAAACTTGCTACTTACAAGACGTCTTTGTTTGCAGTCAGTGCCTAGGAAATTAGAAGTAGTTACGTGCACTCAATCAAATGTCAGGCTGTGAAGATAATTTGATATAAGCCAAAGTCTACATTAATGCAGTACTCAGTGGTGTCCAATGGCATTCCGTGTTAATGAATTCTAAATAGGCTAGAGTAAAACATAAGGTTATTTCTTACAGCTGTTGTTAGTGTTTTGCCTTGAGACCCATTTTGTAATGACCGACAGTTTTAAAAGTAAGTGAATCAAAACTGAAAGGATGGTAATTCAAGACAGAGTATGGTACAGTGGCTAGAGCGGGCGTGAGGACCCTGTGGCCTACAACTCCCATCATTCCTGGCCATTGGTCATGCTGGCTGAAGGGGCTCCTGGGCATTGGAAAGCATCAGGTACTCCCATCTCTGCCTAGAGCTCCCATCTTTGAAGTCTGGGAAAGTGGGATTTGTGCAGGATAAGGCTATGTCCTCTGCAGTGTTAGAAACTCAGATATATAAGCTAATTGCTAAATGGCACCTAGGTTACAGTTGCCACAACAGAATGTCTAGGTGCCTTTCCCCCCAATGATATATCATTATCATCATCGTAATCATTTCTATACTGCTTTATATTTTAAAGAAGAAATCTCGAAGCGGTTTACAACACATGAAAACATTAAATAAAACTATCCAGAATAAAACAGATCCAAGCTTCAAGGAAAATATTTCAGATCCTTCTCTTAAGTGACATTTTGCTTTCCCCAGTCGCCAACCTGGCATCCACAAATCTCCACATGGTAACAATTGGACCGTCGCAAAACGCGCCTGGCGCCTGACTAATTTCTAACACTGGTCTGCTGCTGGAGGCAGTATGCCTCTGGCTGCCAGTTGTCAGGAACTGCAAGTGGGGCAGGCTCCTTTTGCCCTCGGGTGCTGCTTGCAGACTTTCCATTGGGGCATCGGGTGGCCACTGTGATGAAAGGAGGCTGGGCCAGACAGGCTGGTGGTCTGAGACATCAGGGCTCTTTTTATGTTGTACGGTTGGGTGCAACTTCAGCTTTTCCTGTGTGTGAAGAGACTAAACAGTGGCCTTTCCCCCCCATTAGGTGGTTGTGAAAACAAACCCAACAAAGACAGCAAACCACCCTTGGAACTGCAGTCCACTTAATAGCACAGGCAACTCCCCACAGATGAGCAATTGTGCATGTGGGCATTGCGCTGAACCCAGAAGTTAATATAAAAATTGCAAAAATGTCCCTAGAAGAGCCTGGAAAGGGCAAAAAAGGAATGGAAACAGTACCTAGCAATCCCACAAGCCTTTGCAAGTGTAATCCCAGGAGCCTTTGAGGCCTGTGGAGAGTTGGAGCTTGAGCAAGGAAGTTTGGAGGGAGTCTGGTTTTTTTTAAAAGGTTTTTCAAGGTTTTCCAGAGGTTGAGAGGTTCTTCGCAGGCTTTTGCAGTGGTGTTTCAAATTTGCACGGCTTCACTTAAGCGCAGCCCCCACGTAAATTGGGTTGGTTGCCTGTAACCGTTAAATGTAACGAATGGGAGTCAAGGAGAAGTGCGACTTGGCATGGCTTCAAAGCATGTGCTATGCATTCCTCCTCCAGCAGGGAGCAGCAGAAACACACAGCAGACTTTTCAAAATGCACCGACTCCCCCTGCAGGGAAACCCATACTAGAAACCCATTTTCAGTTTGCAGCAATTGTCTTCTGGCACCTTTTTTTAAAAAATTATAGCTTACTCTCTCTTTCTTTGTACGGGAGCCAGCCCGATAAAGAAGTCTAAGCTTCCTGGCCCTTGATGTCAAATCGGCCCTTGTGACTTTGAGAGCATTTTGTTCTCCTCCTCCTCTGTGCTTAAACAAAACAAGAGCATGAGAAGACCCTTGCAGCAGCAGCTGCATCAGGCCAAAGACCCGCAGAGTCAAAAATCCTCTGCAGGGAACCACTGCAGAAAAGACCTTTTCTCATCTTGCCACCCTGGTCTGGACCGCTCACATTGGGGGCACACAGAGAAGGGCCTCCGAGGATGCTCTCAGGGTCTGGGTAGGGTCCCAAGCTTTGGGGCAGGACTCTTTCCCAGATGTACCTGGAGGTGCCAAATTATGAGCTCTGCCACAGAGCTTTGGTCGCACTGTCTTTCCCCACCATCTCACTTTATTACATACTGTTATGGGAATTCTAAGGTCTTATATATATAAAATAAATGTGCAAGGCAAACACATAAGTATATAAACCACGTGTCTGAAATAGTACAGGAGAGCAATCCTGAAGCCATTTTGACTCTCCCAAATTGACCTCAAATATTTCTCTGCAAGGAGGAAGGAAATGGGAAAAGCTTTCCATTTGTCTTTGGACTGTAGGGGCTCACACCTCCCTGTAAATAGGGCAAACTATCAATATGCATAAGAGATTCAGGAACTGTATTTACCATCTCAAAGGAATGGCCAGGCTATCCAGAAAAGGCAATCAGATAAGGCATTATCAGGTATCCTGGCAGACAGGAGAGAAGCAACACACTCAAATTTCTGCTGGGGATCACCTCTTTCTGTGATGTATGTCTGATGTTTTGGGGGTGGTCTTGAGCTACAGGGTAGACAATTTCAAAAGTCTATATAAGAGCTTGCACACATGTTCTGGGTTCCTCTCCTCCATCCCTGCGTGGAGGAGTGGGGAGACCCTGTTTAATAAAGATCATGCTTACTAGCTGCTTTGCTTCTCAATATTCTCTGGTTGTCCTCTGTTATTTTTCCTACCGATAAAGAACCTATGTAAGGACTCTATACGGGCTCTTAGATACCCCATAAGCGAAAGGGAGCAGTTTTTTTCTTAACAACAGTGTCCCAGAGGCACTTAGTTGGCCACTGGGAGAACAGGACTAGATGGAGCACAGGAGTGCAACCTACACTAAAGTAGGACCCTGGCAGAGACACTTGCCCGACTGGCATGTTCTCTCCCTCCTGGTCATTCATTCGGGAGCTTCAAAAGCTTTCTTCTGCCCGAACATCACAGCAACTGATGCCAACCGACACCAGCACACTTAGGGATCTGCAGAGTTTGCGCAACTTGCGTAACAGACCTCAGCAACTCAGCATTTTGGCTAATCTACTTTATTTACATATAAACACACACGGAGCACTGCAACATGGCTCCCTCTCTCTCTAGCATCAGACAGCAAAGAGAAAAAGACAAAGGACAAAAGTCCCACTTCACGGAACACAGTAACACAAGCATCCTGTCTCCGTTACTTCCCACTCTGTGGAGTCAAAACTTATACCGTCATGTGATATACAAAAATCAAATGACTGCAATCATGGAGCAGGAATTCTAACAGTTTTGGCCTGATCCAGCAGAGGTAGGCATAGCCAGCTTGTGGGACCCACTTTGCCAGGGGCAGTGAGACGTGGGCACAGCCTCTTTCAATGGTGTGGAATAAGTAGCAAGCGTTGAATGGCTGGGACTACGGGGAAGTGTTGCCCATTCTCCAGCTGAGCCTCTCTGCTCTTTCTTTGTTTCAGGTGGGGCTCCGGCAACTGGACATGTCTCTGCTCTGCCAGCTCTGGTCCCTGTATGAGTCCATTCAGGAATACAAGGGCCTCTTCCAGGACATGTCTTCCTCGCTGCACTCGGAAGGCAGCCTGGCTGCTGAAAACGGCTTCTCGGATGAGGACGAGGACTTCGAGGTGGATCAGATGAGCCCTGACGGGCACAAGGAGAACCCGCTGGGCCAGCGGCTCCGCCTGCTCCAGCCCCAGAACTCCCGGGATCAGTGGCTCCAGGACTCTTTCCACATCACCATCTGAAGCCTCTGCCGCTGCTCCGCACCTGCCTTTCCTCCCCTTGTGTGTCGGCTGCCGAACCTGACTCCTGCATCTTTCACAAAAGACATTCAGGGGGGCAATGGAGGGGTTCAGTCGCAGGCAGGAGTGAGAGGAGGGCCGAGAGAAGGGCCGTTCGCATTGGGCAGTTTACAGCTGGCCCTGTCATAATCAAATGACCCCTGAGGAGAACTACCACGTTATGCTTCACAATTAACCTGTGGGGGGTTTAGCATTCAATCACCGCCAAGATGTCACAGAGCAATCTTTCCAGAGAGAGAAAAAGAGGTTTGTGTGTGTGGCCAGTTCAGGAACAGAGTGCAATTCTTTTTAGTCCTCTGGGCAGTGGCAGACTTCGGGCTTTCAAATTTCAGCGGCGCCCCATGCAACACCAAAATCTGCCTCTTGCCTTCCGTTCTAAGTCCTTGTTGCAGCATCCCCTCAGCTTGGCACCCGTTGCGGGTGAACTGGTCGTGGTCCCCTAAATGCGCATAGAACCACAGAATCGTAGAGTTAAGAGGGAACCCTGAGGGTCATCTAGTCTAATCACCTGCAATGCAGGAATCTCAGCTAAAGCATCCATGACCCTCCAACCTCTGCTTAAGAACCTCCAAGGAAGGAGAGTCCACAACCTCCCGAGGGAGACCGTTCCGCTGCCAAACAGCTCTTAACTGTCAAGAAGTCCTTGCTGCCGTTTAGTCAGAATCTCCTTTCTTGTAACTTGAAGCCATTGGTTCGGGTCCTATCCTCCGGAGCAGGAGAAAACAATGGGCTGGAGTGCCTGCCTCCAGCCCAAAGGCCATCCTCTTCTCACTCAGGGGCTTATGGAACAGATGAGCCACTGCATTCATTAGGATGTAAACATCTGGCTTCCCATTGTGGCCAACCAGGTTCCTGCAGAAGGGATGGGAGAGCCCTCCAGCCGCTGTCATCCCTGGCCACTAGCCCTGTGGCCTCTGGGAGCAGCGTTTTGGGGGGGGTCTCCAAGTTTCCCCACCCCAATCTAGAAGAAACCTCCCAGCATTGCTGCCCAGGAGCGCTTGATCTGACCCTGCAGCTGTGCCAGAAGGGAAGTCTCTTGAGGAAGCCCTTCCATTTCAAAGAAAAGCCGCAGCTCTGTTCCATGTACATGGTGCTTGAGGCATAACTGAGGCCATGTCTGTGGCTACCTCACTGTTTGTTTCTGGGGAATGCGTCACACCTCAACTAGGCACTGTATTTTCCAGCTGAAAGAGACTTCTTGGGCTGGGGTAGCAGGATTCCCCTCGGCCACCTCCCTCGCTTAGTCCCCACGGCTGCCACTCCAAACCTGCTCTCTTTCTCTCTTTGGGAGATGAAGACCCACATCCCTTGAATGCAGGAGGTCCCAGGATCAGTCCCTAGCAGCGCATCCCCAGGTAGGCAAGAGCCCCTTCCTGAGACCACGGAGAACAGCTACCAGTCAGTGTAGACAGTACTGAGCTAGAGAGGGACCAAGGGTCTGACTCTGAATATAAGGCAGCTTTCTGTGTCTCTCTAGAGCAGGGTTTCCGAAACCTGGATCTGCAGCTGTTTTCAGACTACAGTTTCCATCATCCCTAGCTAGCAGGACCAGTGGTCAGGGATGATGGGACTTGTAGTCCAAGAACAGCTGCAGACCCAGGTTTGGGAAACGCTGCTTTAGAGGCTGAGCTCTGTCCCAGCCTCCACCCCATCCCCAGTCCTTTGGAAGCATCCCAAAATGGCGTAGCTGGATAGGAACTTGCTGTGCACGAAGAAGCTTACTTGCTAGATTTTTCTAGGCAGAGTTGCATTTGCTGGATTAATTATTAGTGCCTCGGCCGCGTTACCTAAAAAGCGGCTTCTTTAAAATATTTAATTATATATGATTGTTCTGGGTTTTTTGTTTTAATTTTAAGGCCTTGAAATACAAGGGTTGGGGCAGATCTCTGCTTCTCTCCCATCCCACATTATATAACTGGGTACAAACTTTGGACGGCTAAGTTAATATATTGTTTTGTTTATTTTTAATGGGGCATTTTTGCAACGGAGCCCATTGCAACTGTGGCATGAATCCAGGGAATAAAATGGCCTCGCAGAACCAGGTCTTGTCTGCATTTCATTCCAAGCTGGGGCGGGAGCGAGGATCCTGGTTTTGAACAACCTCTAAAGAGATCTCATGTGTTTGATGATGGGCCAGGCCTGCTGCTTGTTGTGGAATCCACTGGAGCCACTAAGAATAATATGTGGACACAGGTGGACACACACAGACCCAGCTCCAGCTTACCACAGCTCCTCTGGAGCATATTCACTTCAGCTTTTCTTTTACCTCATGATCTGGATGGTCTTGCTGCAGTGGGGAGCAGCAGGCCCTAGGCCATACCTATCTCCCCAAGCCACACCCCTCACTTTTAGGCTTTTTTCCTGGTTTGGGGATGAGTCCTCCAACTCGGATTCTGCTTCTTCTTTGCCTTGATGGAGAAGAGAGGGCTGTGTGAGAGTACTAGTCCAGGGTTTCCCAGACTTGGGTCTCCAGCTGTCTTTGGGACTACATTTCCCAACATCCCTGACCACTGGTCTAACAACAACAACAACAAAATTATATATATAATTTATACCCTGCCCATCTGGCTGGGTTCTCCCAGCCACTCTGGGCAGCTCCCAACAAAATACAGTTGTACCTCGGGTTACATACACTTCAGGTTACATACGCTTCAGGTTACAGACTCCACTAACCAAGAAATAGTACCTTGGGTTAAGAACTTTGCTTCAGGATGAGAACAGAAATCATGCAGTGGTGGTGCGGCAGCAACAGGAGGCCCCATTAGCTAAAGTGGTGCTTCAGGTTAAGAACAGTTTCAGGTTAAGAACGGACCTCCGGAACGAATTAAGTACTTAACCCGAGGTACCACTGTATTAATAATACAATAAAGCATCAAACATTAAAAACTTCCCTAAACAGGGCTGCCTTCAGATGTCTACTAAAAGTAAAATAGTTGTTTATTTCCTTGACATCTGATGGGAGGGCGTTCCACAAGGTGGGTGCCACTACCGAGAAGGCCCCTTGCTAGCAAGGGATGATGGGAGTTGTCATCCAAAAACAGCTGGGGACTCAAGTTTGGGAAACCTTGTAGTCTACTGTGCAAAGGTCCACATTTACATCCACTGCTCTGCCCACGTCTGCCTCAGACCCTGGCGCATGGCCCCCGGAAGGGAATGTGGCCCTCAGACTGAGAAAAGGTTCCTCTAGCCCTAGTGTGGAGGCAGAGCCTGACAGGCAGGCTGGCAAAGGTGTCTGTGTCACACTGAGATGGGCATCGCCCCACATCACTTCCTGCAGCAGCAGCACCGATGTTATTAAGAGACAGCTGCTTGCCTGGAAGCCAGACACATCTGCTGGGAGCCTGGCCACAGTAGGAAGCTGGAGGATCCTTGGGGTTTTTCCTCTTGCTGAAGCCGGAAGAGTGACTCATTGTTATTGTTATTTTAAAACTAGGTATAAAAAATACCAAATGGATGACCACTTAGCTAAAAAAATTGAGAAACACTCAGCAGACTGGCAACTTTTGCTACGATTTCAAACTGTGCATGACTCAGAATATTAAAGGATCCAGGTAGGTATGTTTGAGACTCTAGATGTGATGGTCTTATTCCCCACTTTCTGGCAATGTGTGTTGCTTAGTTTATTTCAAAATGTTGCCCGGCTGCAATGGGGAGGGACTCCTGCTGCCCCCAAATTCCTGTTCCAATGGTACCACTACTGATAGTCCTTTGCCTTGATCCATAGTTTTTTTTTTGGGGGGGAGTGGGTGGGATGGTTTATGCCAGGCATAGGCAACCTTGGCCCCCCAGATGTTTTGGGACTACAACTCCCATGATCCCTAGCTAACAGGACCAGTGGTCAGGGATGATGGGAATTGTAGTCCCAAAACATCTGGAGGGCCGAGGTTGCCTATGCCTGGTTTATGCTGAGGGTAAGGATTCGACAGCATCTGACAGGCCACAGGTTCCCCCCTCCCCCAGGTTGTGCAGCTACTCTGCACATGGTCAGAGGCACCATCACTACCTCAAACATCAACCGAAACAGGCTCTGGGTGAAGTCTTACAGATCTGTTGCCCCAGTGTTTGCTCTTTCACACACCCCAGCGTATGTATCCCTTTCACGCTGAGGCAACCATTGTTCCCTTCTTCCTGTTTGTGAGGCTGCTGGAATCTGTCTGGTTTTCAGATTGTCTCAATAATTGGGCTTCCCCAGCTCCTTGTTTCCGCCCATTCTTGGCTCTGGCATCGTGCCAGGGAATGTCTACCAAGTCTATACACAACTCCTCGGCAAAGCTGAGCTGCTTTTGTTTCCTCGTACCACGAGGGTGGCAGAAAAGGAAAGCAAGATTGGGAGTGGGGGCAGATCCAAACCGTGCCTTTAAAATACATGGTCCCCCCTCCCAAGAATCCTGGGAACTGTAGTTTGTTAAGGTTGCTAGGAACTCTAGCTGCACAAACAGTTCCCATAATTATTTGGGGAAAGTCATATGCTTTAAATGTGAGTTGGTTGTGCTTTTAAGAGTGTGGTGTGAATCTGCCCCGTCTCTTGGAGTTACAAAGAACTCTTCGCTGGGCTGGAACAAATGAACACAGTGTTCTGTGTTGCCTCAAAACCCTGCATGCGCCCAGGCTTTGGAGCATGGGTGACAGATGTCTAAACATTTAGATGCTGGCTCCCAGAAGTCTGAAATATTTTTCCAACACACACACACAGCTTCTGAGTTTCCTATTTACATCTGCCTCACTCTTCCAGGGACTGGTGCACTTCCTTTAAATCAGGGGTTTGGAATATTCCTTTGGGCTGAGTTGTGAAACAGCTGCTGGTGCCACAACTGAGAGGGATCTCAGAAGTGGCTAGACTTGCGGGCCTCTCTGACTTTGTGTATCAGGATGATCAGTTGTTCCAGGCATTTTGCAGTGCAAAAGAAAAAGAAGAAAGACTCACTTCAAAGGTGAAGGAGGAAAGTTTGGAGGAGCTGCCTAGATTTCAGTTATCTCACTTGATCTGGTGTTTAGGCTACAATACTATCTTCCGTGATAAAAGCCTGCGAGCTCTCTGGCTTTCGAGCATGGATGGCAGCTGGATAGTCATTAGATGCACTCAGGAAATGCACAAAATGTGGCAAGCAAAGGATCAGAAAAAACTAAGGAGAACTAAGGATCAGAAACAAGAACACAGGCCATCCTCTGGAATGAATGAGTGTTCTCTGCCCAGCCTTATGACCCATGACTTAATCTGTACTGGGTTCCCCTACTGCCTGAGAAAAGTTGGTGAGCTCCAACCCTGCCTTTGTGTAGAGCCAGACTTTGCCAACCTGGTACCCTCCAGAATGCAATTCTCAACAGCCCCAGGCAGCATGGCAGAAGCTGCAGAGGGGGGTTACCAGTGAAGAGGAGGACATTTTGCACATGCTCGTTGCTGGAACTGGAAAGAGATTCAGCAGTAAAGTTCCAGCCCAAATTCAGCGCTTTTTGGGAATTAGCGTACTGAATAGAATCCAACATGGTGCAAAGAGGAGATTCTAAGAGCAAGGCTGTTTACAGAATTGTGGGACGGTTTTGTGTG